ATGGAGTCAGAAGAAGGAGTGAGTGAATCATGATGGGGCTGTATGCCCCCATGTATGTTGCTCTTGCTTTGGTCATGTGTCCTTCCCCATCCCTGTGGCAGGTTGAGCAGGTCCGTGTGTGCAGAGTGGAAAAGGTGATTTTTTCCCTCTGTCCCCACACATGGATACATTTCTGCTGTCAAAATGCATTCTGTGCCTTAAGATTTACTGGTGTCCTACAGTTGGTTGATCACTTGGTAAGAGGTGGTAGGTCTGAAAAATGTGCTCAGCTTCACAATCTAATTATTCCTTCTTCCTTTGCCTGTCTGCAGTCAAAGGATGCATCATTTGGCTTTGGTTTGTTTTATTTTTGTTTACTTTAGTTTGTGGGTGTTTTTGTTTTCAGTTGGGCATTAACTTCAGTGCAGAGAGCACCTGTGAAACCAGTTGGGAACACAGACCTGACATTCAGGGGGAACACAATGAACGCTACACTCATAAGGGAGCCACACCTCACAGTTGTGTGCTTGGTCACCAAACTAAACTCTGACATTTAGAGAGTGCCACTATCACCCTCTTTCAGCACGCTCAGCTGTTGCCTTATTATATTGTTCAGCTAAGCCAGCTCCAGAATTGCACCCTTTGATCCAGTGGCTCCCCTGGGACTACCAAGAGACTTCTTGCTTGTGTCACTGGCTGAAGCTCCATGATCTTGGTGCAGTGTCTGCCCCTCTGACAGTCTGTCCATTTGATTCCTCCCAGATGAAGGCAACAGAGGGCCCAGAGCCAGGAAACCACACTCTGATGACCAAGTTTGTCCTCTCTGGATTGTCCAACCACCCAGAACTGCAGCACGTGCTCTTCTCCACATTCTGTTTCCTGTACATCTTCACCATCATTGGGAACTTTCTCATCTTTGTGGTCACGGTGCACCCCACCCTCCACATGCCCATGTACTTCTTCCTCCGGGTCCTGTCCTTCCTGGATGTCTCCACAGCATCCATCGTTGTCCCCAGGATGCTGGTAAACTTCCTGTCAGAGGACAGGAGCATTTCCTACGTGGGCTGTGTCACACAGCTCTACTGTGTGATTTTCTTAGGAGCCACTGAATGGTACCTGTTGGCAGCCATGGCCTATGACCGTTACGTGGCCATATGCAACCCCCTTAGATACGCAATCACCATGAACAGCAGAGTTTGTCTCTCCCTGGTCCTCCTGTCCTGCTGCAGTGGGAATGTTGTGTCTGTGGTGCAGACAGCCTGGGTGTTCACACTACCATTCTGTGGGCCCAGGAGGATTAACTACTTCTTCTGTGACATCCCCCCACTCATCACGCTCTCCTGCACCGACACCTCTTCGTATGAAATACAGATCATTACTGCCACAGTGCTGGTCATCCTTACACCGTTTTGTCTCATCCTGGTATCCTATGCCTGCATCATCTCCAGCATCCTGAAGATTTCCTCTGCAGAGGGCAGACGCAAGACCTTCTCCACCTGCTCCTCACACCTCATTGTTGTAACGTTGTACTGTGGAAGTGGGATCGTGATTTACTTACCACCAAAATCCAGCACCTTGCAGGACACTAAGGAAATCCTGGCTCTCATATACACAGCCGTAATTCCCACACTAAATCCCTTGATTTACAGCCTGAGGAATAAAGAAGTGAAAGAAGTACTAATCAGAAAGATGGCTGAGCTGATGAACAAATAAATCTTTTCTGCCCCACTTACGTGAAGTTTAATGATGTTCTTTCTATTTTCACCCTAACCCAGACGATGTCAGTCCAGCTGTCCAGTGCTATCCCAACAGGTCTTGAATACCCCATCCCATCCTCATGACAAGATGCAGAACAATGTCATGGTTTAACCCCTTCCAGCAACTAAGCCCCATGCAGCCACTCACTCACTAACCTCCAGTGGGTTGGGTGAGAGAATTGGAAGATTAAAAGTGAGAAAATTCATCAGCTATGGGAAAAACAGTTCAATAATTTCAAAAAAATAATAGTAATAAAAATATTAATTTTTATTATTAAATATAAGGCATATAGGAGAAAAAAT